GGGGGGGGGGGGAGCATTTCAAACAAACCATACAGCAGCAAAATGGCTCAAATGAGTCTGCGAGGTTAAAACCATTTTCATAATAATGTGAACACATTTTTTTCCCTTTTCAATGCTTGACCTCTGCACTGATGGTACAAAAGTGATGGTGTGTAAAACTGCTGGTGCCTTAGCACAGATCTAATCTGCGCCACCAAATTGTCTGGCTGGTCTTTTCTTCCTCACCACCGTGCACTCGCAATTAAAATTAAAGGGCCAGCTTTGCCTTGGAGTGTTCTTGATGATACATATGAATCATTAATGTTCTTAAACCTTGGTTCTTGAGTACACTTTTTTTCTATACTCTGTATGACAATGAAATGCAAAGTATATGTGAAACTCTTACGCTAAATACCGTAGTACGATGGTTGTCTCTAGGAAAAGCATTTGTGCAACTGAATTAGAGCCTAAACTCGCGACCTTTTCTATGAAACATTCTTCCTCGAAAGAATGACAGAGTGACAAACTCTGGCTAGTCAGACTTGGGTATTTGGCAGACATTTTCTAGAAAATGAATGGAGTGAGCCTGTTACTTGAAGGAAAACAACTTATAGTATTTATTGTCAACTTGTCAATGAAAAACTTTAATCTTTGAAGCAAAAATTAAAATTATGGAAAACTGGTATCCACCATCATGGACTTGGCAGCTTTCCAGTACTTAAAATCTTTTCTAATGAAGTGCGTGGTGATAGTAGCAAACGTAATTTTTTGACATTGAATAATGCAGTATTTCAACATTTGGACAATCTGCATAATTCATTGAAGCAATATTTCCCAAATGACCAATGCAAGTTAAAAAAAAATCATGCATGGGTAAGATACATTCAAAATGGAAGGCAGACCAATGGGGTTTAATGTAACAGATATGAAAAGTTCATAGAATTTTTCAGATTCCATACTGCAGCTAACCCTTAAGAAATTACAGCTCGTGTCTTAGTGTAGAATCAAAGAGGAATACCCACAATTGTCTGAAAAGTTTATGAAAATATTCTTCCTGTCTGTGTGAAGACAAATTTTCTTCATGCACTTCAAACAAAACAGCATATTGCAACAGATTAGAGGCAGAAACAAAGTCCAGCTAGCCTCTGTTAAGTCAGACATTAAAGAGATTTGCCAAAATATAAAATAATGCCACTCATATCACAAGTTTTTGTTAATGTAAATATGGTTGTTTTCATTTAAATGATATTTATGTTGTTATTATTTTTCAAGCAATAAATATGTAAGTATTTCAAAATTTATCGGTTTTAATTTCTAATATGGTAAATATGATAGATACAGTCCACATAAACAAAAGCTTTGCCGGGCCTTTGATGATTTTTAAGAGTGTAATGGGATTCTGAGACCAAAAAATTTGAGAATCGGTGCTCCAGGGCAAAGAATGTCGGGAAGGGGTCTGAACATCTGGGTCTGGACCATGTTGAGCCACAGACTTACGGTGTGACTGCCTGAAACCTTTTGGGAGTAAGTTAGGGGATGGATGGGTGGATGGATGGGTCGATGGGTGGATGGTAGAAAGTATGAAGCATGCACATTTTCTTAGTAGATTCTGGAGACAGACTGTGAAAACTGAGTTCTGTTTCCTTCATTTATTAACCATGTGGTCTCAGGCAAGGGACTTGATATTCCTGAGCCTTAATTTCTTCATCTGCAAAACATATACAATAATAGTACTCACATCAAGAGGTTGTGAGAGTTGAATAAATTAATCCATGTTATTTGCTTAACAGAATGCTGGCCACATAATAAGCCCTTGGTATACGTTAGCTTTTATTATGATGATGGTGTAATGTGCTACAGAACCTCGCTGAGTCTCCTTTTCTTCCTATGTAAAGTTAGGGAGTTAGAGGATCTCTCAAGTTCTCTTCCAGCTCTAGCATTCAGTAATCACCACCACTACCATCATCATCATCTTCTTCCCCTAAAGTTTATTGAGCATTTACTATTCTCAGCCATTATGCTAAACGCTTTATATGGATGACCTTATTTAATCCTCACTACAGTGCTGTGAATTAAATGCTGTTATCATCCCAGTTTTATGGAATAGACTGAGACCAGATCTACTGTCTGATCTGGAACTCAAACCCAGATCTCTCTTTTTTTTTTAACATCTTTATTGGAGTATAATTGCTTTACAACGGTGTGTTAGTTTCTGCTTTATAGCAAAGTGAATCAGTTATACATATACATAGGTTCCCATATCTCTTCCCTCTTACGTCTCCCTCCCTCCCACCCTCTCTATCCCACCCCTCTAGGTGGTCACAAAGCACCGAGCTGATCTCCCTGTGCTGTGCGGCTGCTCCCCACTAGCTATCTATTTTACGTTTGGTAGTGTATATTATGTCCATGCCACTCTCTCGCTTTGTCACAGCTTACCAGATCTCTCTTGACCCCGCAGTCCATGTGTCTAAGCAGAGCATAGGCAGTGGAAGCTGATTCCAGGTCTAATCCTGGCTATGTCACCTTGGGGCAAGTGACTTAAACCCCTGTTGCTTTAGCTTCTTTATCATAAAGTAAAAACAGTACCTGTGTCATAAGGTGGCTGTGAGGTTTAACTTGGTCGCTTCGTGAAAAGCATTTATCCCAGTATCTGTTCCATACAGAGCCCTCAAGTGATAGGACCCACCTCATCCCTGTGAGCCATGAGCCTTGATTCTCTGCTTCTGACGGGTTTACAACCACATGTTCTAGTATCTTCATGGTGTTTAACTAATGAACATGAATATACAGTGGGCTACGGCTGCCTATTATATACTTCACCTTAGTCATAAAGGGGGAAGATTACCATCAAATGCTGACATAATTACATAAATAATAAGTGCTATAGGTGCTAAAGCATTTTTTATTATTATTTTCTGGTGAGAAAAAATGGGCAGCCCTACCAGCTAATGTGGTGACTGTAGATCTTTTACGGAATGTTCGTTGGAGAATATACTCACTGTTAGAAACTAAGAAAACAATATATAAGGTCCTAAGAGAAAATTTAGTGCTTTTCTATAAAGTTGCTTTAGGCTTATAATAAAAATAGGAGGTTGTAGTAAAATTAAGGAGGTCAGGGAATAGTCTTGTTGAGTCAAACTGTTAAAACATCTCTCCCTAAAGGAAACATTTGGAACCAAAGTTACCACATATAACCTGTTAGTAGCCCAACTAAGATTTCACTTCAGAGACATGAGCGTAGGGAAGTCCTGGTGAGTATCATGGCAAGTATGCTTATGTAAAGCTGCTTCCAGTGTATGACACTGACTGCAAAATTACGCTCTTCTATTCTCATTCAGAGGCTCCAAAGATTCGCATCCCAAGGCACCTAAAGCAAACCTATATCCGCAGAGTTGGAGAAGCCATCAATCTGGTTATACCTTTCCAGGTAATAATTCAGCGTTGCTCATTTTCTCCTTCCCATGCTGGCGTGTTTAAGGAGTAGAGGGAGGGTCTTCAGCATTTAAGTTATTCGTGATTCAGAATTACCTCAGAGGAAAGGCAGGAAAGGATAGAAGAGATTTGGAGAGGGATTAAACAACCTCCTGCTTTACAAGTACAGAAATCTATAAAAGTGTCCTGGATTTTCCTTCTGCATGAGATAAATGAGGCCTAGTCTTATCTGAGGCTCAGGGACCACAGGGGGCCAGAGAGGAAACACCAAGGAGACACCGAAACAAGAAATACTTAAAGATCTTTCTGGTTCTATCCATCTGTAAAACTGATCTTCCTTTTAAGTGAAGTTCTTGGTGTAACATTCAGGAAAACAACATGTCCTTACTTCCCATGATTACCCCAAACCACACTCAAATCACCCAAATTCCAATGAGGGATAACTGAAATTTGAAATTTTGATGTCCCTAACTGAAATAAATGAACATTGTTAAATCATCGCTCTCTCAAAAGAATCTGTTATTTGTAAGATTAACCAGGCTTTGCATATGATAATCACTTTTGGACTCTCTCTCTCTCTCTCTCTCTCTCTCTCTCTCTCTCACACACACACACACACACACACACACACACACAAACACCCACTGCACCATTACCTCCTTACTCATTTGATTCCTTTTATGCCTCTAAACAGTGCTGTTCAATAGAACTTTCTGTGATGATAGGAATGTTCTGTGTATGCAGTGTCCAATATGGTAGCCAGCAGCCAAATGTGGCTATTGAGGACTTCAAAGGTGCAGCTAGGAACTAGGGCAACTGGGGAAATGAATTTTTAATTTTCCTGAATTTGAATTAGTTTTACTTTAAATAGCCACCTTGAGCTTGCGGCTGTTACGTCAGACAGCATGGCCTTAGAACTAGAATTTAGGTCTCTGCCAACATTTGGATACACACACACACACACACACACGCACGCAGAGCTGGTTCAAACACAGGCTCCCATGAAAACTAACCTAAAGGGACAGCCAGTTCAGGCCATTCTCACTGCACCTGGGGCCCAGCCTTAGAAGAGGCAGTTAGCTTCTGCATACGCAGCACCTGAAATCAGAACGGAAGTCAAGGAGGACGTGAGTGTGAGCACAGCAGACGAGGAAGGCAGTGGCTTGGCAAGGTTCCTCCCACTTCTGTCCTCCCGCAGCCTAAAAAACAAACCAGGAGTTGGCACAAGGCGGGCACCCAGGACCCAGCCCCAGCCCTGGACTGGGGCTGAATCAGCCCTCTAGTTTCCACATCATGTCAACAGCTAGGGCTAATCCCAGTTCCCAGATCTTATTGGGAATGGGAGAGTGTATTCAGCTCTGTCCCTGGGTCTGGGAGAGGAGAGAGCATGAGAACAGGGACCTCATAGGTATGGCATCCCAGGGGCTGGTCAGCTACTAGGAAGGGGATGATGAGACTAGTATGTCATGTTTGTATATTTATGTAACCTCTAAAGTTCTCGAACCTTTTCTCATTTGAGCCCCAGATACATCTTGTGAGGCAGGAATGGCAGATTTCCTTACCCACCTTGAGAAGGGAAGAAACTGACATTCAGAGAAGCTAAGTGACTTGCCCAAAGTCACACAGCAAATAAATGGTAGTGCCACGAACAGAGTCTGTATCTCCAGACACTGAATCCAGTGCTTTTTTCACTCCATACGTTATCAGAGAACTCATTTTTTCCCCCCAGTGATTAATAGTAAATTGTACACTTAAGGAAATGAGACCTGGAACTATTTTTCCCATCTTTAACAGTATTGTTCCCTACTTCCCATATGCACATCTGAGCACCTGCAACCATTCTTCAAGCCCTGTGTGGAGGGGTTTGATGTGTGTCTCTCACATTCCTTAGCAGAACCTATCAACAAGTCACATTAGGAGCCCATGGGAAGGCTGTGCGTTTCCCAACGGAATTAATGCTTGGTTCCTGTCTGTGGGGTGAGCCTGCGTGCTGAGGAATCCTAGGAATTTTCTTTGTAATGTAAACTAAAACTCATGTCCTTGAATGAGATTATAATTACTCAAAGTCTGCTCTTAAAGAATAGTTTCAGCTGCTAGAGAGAACAGAGAGAGAATTACAGACAAGTCTGAAATGAGCAACACAGTACAGTGGAACAATAATCATTAGCATGTAGATGATATTAATGAAACACCTCTGCAGTGCACAGAAGCTTTCTAAGAACTTCAGTTGTGATAACCACCCTGAAGAAAGGTACTCTCATTGCATTTTACAGATTGGGAAATTGAGGCAGAGAGTTTAAGTAACTTGCCCGAAGTCACACAGCTATTAAGTAGTGGAGTCAGGATCCAAATACAGATTCTAGGGTCCCAGGGCCCATGTTCTGAACCATTAGGCTGTGATGTGCAGGCTTTGGAGTTGAAAAGACCTGGCTAGAAGACCAGCTTCCAGCACTTAGCTGCAAGGCCTTGTGCAAGTCATTTAATACCTTTATCAAAAAAAAAAAAAGTTGTGGGGGGGGGCTTCCCTGGTGGCACAGTGGTTGAGAGTCCGCCTGCCGATGCAGGGGACACGGGTTTGTGCCCCGGTCTGGGAAGATCCCACATGCCGCGGAGCGGCTGGGCCCGTGAGCCATGGCCGCTGAGCCTGCACGTCCGGAGGCTGTGCTCCGCGGCGGGAGAGGCCACAGCAGTGAGAGGCCCGCGTACCGGTAAAAAAAAAAAAATGAGGATAATCCTGATGTGAAGAGTCAGGGAAGTTATAAATATCATGTACCTAACATAGTACCTTGCATGCAGAATGCAATCAATGGGCAGTAGTGAATATTAACGTTACTGCTATAACTGCCCACCACCAGGCCATTTTCCAAACTTGCCTAGGATGGGGTAAGCCACTGCCCATTTATTTAATGCTGAAAAAAAATCTGGAGACAATCTGATCCCCTCCTGCCTCTACTTTTTCTGTCTTTTTTTTTTTCTTTTAAGGGAAAACCAAGACCAGAAGTAACTTGGAAGAAAGATGGTGCACCTATTGATAAGAATCAGATCAACATTCGCAACTCTGAGACCGATACAATCATATTTATCAGAAAAGCAGAGAGGAGCCATTCTGGGAAATATGATCTGCAGGTCAAAGTGGAAAAATACGTGGAAACTGCATCCATTGATATCCAGGTTGTTGGTAGGTTTGGAGGAGGGAACTAGAACATTATATATGGAGGCAAATTGTCCTTGTCAATAAGGCAAGAGTCAGAATTTCTTCTGTTAGGCTGGCTCTACAGAAAATTCCTCTTTTCAGAATTTAAAAAAATAGATAAATTAGGAAGAATGGTTAGCATTTTAGAATAATTTTTCACTGACTAAAAGGGCTAATCATGGGAGACTTAGGGCATATACAGTAAAGAAAATTAATGTATATACTTTCTAGTGAAAACTATCAGTAATGTTTTACAATCCAGTTCTCTCTTACTCTGTTTCTCAACTCTTCAATGATCAAACTATTTCCCATGTTGAATTCTTGCATTAAGAAAACATTATAGATTCTAGATATAGTTTAACATGTTTCTTACTACATTTAAAATTTGCTAATAGTAACGTTAATGGAGAATGAAGAATTTTTATTAAATGTAAGAAAGGTATACCTAAACAGAGTTAAACAGTTAAAGACTGAATTGTGGTTGGTCGTGCAGTGCTTAGATACTTACCTGTCCAAACAAGGTTAGTTCTTACTTGTTTCCACAGTTAGGGCAATAGAGGGAGGATCTCTTACAAGTAGACCCTTCTCGCTTGAACTGTTCTATAATTTTTGCAATGTCAGGAAATAAATTTAAGAGCAGAGTTAGGAGAAGCCTTGTCTCCAGTCAATTTTATGATTAGAGTTTAGCACACGTGCTAGAACTAGAGGCTCTTTAACCAAAGGAGCAGCTTCCTGTGGCAAACCTTCCCTTAGGTGAAAGTTCATGTCCTTTAAACTAAGCAATCTTTTCGTGCTGACTAAACTGTCTTGATTTTTGTTAAGTTGAAAGGAGTGTTGAGGATGTTCTATGTGCCCTTGGGTCTGGCCTGGCTCCATTTAATTTCATTGAATTAATTTATTTATTTTAAACATCTTTATTGGAGTATAATTGCTTTACAATGGTGTGTTAGTTTCTGCTTTATAACAAAGTGAATCAGCTATACATATACATATGTCCCCATATCCCCTCCCTCTTGCATCTCCCTCCCACCCTCCCTATCCCACCCTTCTAGGTGGACACAAAGCACAGAGCTGATCTCCCTGTGCTATGCGCTGGCTCTATTTTAATGGAAGCCCTTGTGGTTGGGTCTGGAAGAGACTTGCCCCCTGAAACACGAGGAAGGGCTTTTTTATTTTTCCTACTTTGCCATGTAGTTACTTTACCAGGTAGTTATGAGTGCCTGGCACGTCACTCAAAGTGTTCAATAAATAGTAACAATTAGTATCCTACTTATTTTATTAGTCCCAAATTTATGTTTCTGCCGTGACTGTAAAAATCTAGCCATTTACTGTTGGGGAGCAAGTGTTTGAAAAGCCAACGTGAACTTTGAAGACAAAGCAGACCTGGGGTACAGGTGGGAAGTTGAACAGGGAGAAGACATCTGTCTGTAGGACAAATTGGTGAAAACAGGAGATAGAAAACTGTGGTTGTAGAGACTCATTGTTGGTAATTGTAGAAAGGAAGTGAGGTTTATCACTGTGGTTTCCCTCCACCCCCGGAGCCCATGAAGACTGCATCTTAAATGTTGCTTAAAAGAGAGAAAAACATGACCAGAAAGCACTCTGATATTTACTCTTTTCAATCTGACATTTCAAATAGAAATAATTATAGTTGCATTTTAATACCTGAAAAATATTTCAGAACAGAAAGGGTACTGCTTGCACTGCAAAGGATAACAGATGTGAAATTTCTCTGATACATAATACGATTATTGTCCTTCCTTGGACCTCTATGCGTGATTTTTTTTTGAGGCGGCCTCCCAATGAAGATTTAGTTTTCTTTTTTATTAATTAATTTTTCTTGAAGTATAGTTGATTTACAATGTTGTGTTAGTTTCTGCTGTACAGCAAAGTGAATACATATACATATATCCACTCCTTTTTAGATTCTATTCCCATATAGGTCATTACAGAGTATTGGGTAGAGTTCTCTGTGCTACACAGTAGGTTCTTATTAGTTATCTATTTTATATATACTAGTGTTGTATGTCAGTCCCAACCTTCCAATTTATCCCTCCCCCCAAGTTTTCGTTTACTTGACTTTTGGCCTTTCTGAATGTTACTGCAATTTACTGGAAGGTCAGAGGTCACAGAAATTCATAGTGGAGAGAATAAAGTGAAGAAAGACTTTATTTCTTCATTAATGCATTCTACTTCCATAAAATGGAAACACTGATAAATACAAATGAATCTTGGAGGGAGAGATGGCAGAGGAAATAAGTTTTCCTCACTCCCATTAAAGGTGCCTTTTGAGTGCAGCAGAGGACCTCTCTCACAGACTGTGGGCTTCGGGCCTCTCACCGAAAGCTGGAGCTACACAGCCCAGGTAGGCTCTATGATTTCAAGTCTAGCATCAGCTTACCTTTCCCACTAGGCAGGATAGCCTGTGACTCACTGCCAGTAGTCGGCCCCTGGAGGGATGGTTAATGATGTTTGAAGTTTCAGTTACATTTTCTTTTCAAAATCCTTCTCTTTCCATGAAGATGAAGGTCAGGGGTTTCCAGATAAGATTAGTAGGAGTGCATTGTACTTCTCTGGAGAAGAATGCAAAAGAAACGTGGGTAGAAATACAGGAAGAAAAGGACATTTTTAAATATCCTCCTGTAACAAGGTCTAGGTTGGGGGGAAAGTGACCTCACAGTGATGCCATGAATTCATCCTACAGACCGTCCGGGTCCACCCCAAGTTGTGAAGATCAACGATGTCTGGGGAGAGAATGTTGCTCTATCATGGATACCACCAAAGGATGATGGAAATACTGCCATTACAGGGTACACGATCCAAAAGGCCGACAAGAAGAGCATGGTAAGGTCTGGCTTTCTGTGGTGCAGCAGCAGCAAAATAACATTTCATCACAAGTAAAGGGGGAAGCATGAGGTCGTCTCTGGTGAGGAACTCATGAGGGTCATGGAGAAGTGATGTGGCGCAGTGGAAAGGGTAAAGCCTTGGGAGCCACGAAGAGTTGGACTTGCATTTCCACTTAAAACCACATACACATGGACAGTCACTTAACCTCTTTGATCTCCATTTCCCTCATCTGTAAAATAAGGACACTGATGTTTACCTCGCTTGTTTATCAAGAGGCTAAAACAGGGACTCCCCTGGAGGTCCACTGGCTAAGACTCCATGCTTCCACTGCAGGGGGTGTGGGTTCGATCCCTGGTCAGGGAACTAAGATCCTGCATGTCACGCAGTGAGGCCAAAACAACATAAAGCAACTGGCAGAATGCTCAGTAGAATTCAGTAAAGTTATTCGTTCAACAAATATTTACTCACTCTGGATTCTGACTCAGATCTGCACCCATGCAACTTCTTTCTCCTTGTAAAATGAATGTTGGTAGCATGGACTGATGTCTTAAAAAAAAAAAAAATCCAGTTAGAAAAGAAAGATTCTAAAGGTAACAGCATATGCAAAGGTCCTGAGGAGGAAAAGCATTTAGAGTATTCAAGAAGCAACTCAGTTGGCGTACGAATTATTATTACCTATGTTAGATCACCAGATTTTAAACGTTAAAGTCTAGGTCTTTCTGAATCAGAATCCATCCACTACAGCTACTATTGCTCTACCTGTAAGTCAATGAATGAATAAATGAATGTTTGGACACAGAATGGCTTGGAGCCACTATTCATTCTCATAGGAAGAGTAAAACATCATACCAAATGATATTGATAGGAAGTCTGCAGGCATTTACACTACTAGATCTCAGTAAGAACTTAGGGTATGAGGTTACATTGGATTAATAGAAGGGGAGAGGGTTGGAAAGAGCAGTCTAAGTAACCGGAATGGATTTCAAGCCTTGCCTTTCCATAAACTATTTCTAGCATGTCTTTCCCCCCACCCCTGGGTGGGTGTTACATGACAAAATAAGACTTGGCATTTAAAGAAACATGTTTCAGCCAAACCTGGACAGCTTGAGAGCTAGATCAATGGATGACTTTGCAGGGGAAGTATTGACCACCTTGGATTTCCTTAGCAATGAGGGCTCTTCTTTGGACCTTGGTCCAGATACTGGCAATGAATCCAGGGGTACCACACTGCCTCCAGGTGCTCCACATTCTTCCACCCCCACCACATTGCCAACAGTTTTCTTCTCAGATATCTAGTCAAGTTCAGTTGAGTTAGGACTTTCCTGCTGCTTCGTGTGTCTGAGGTCTGCCTGCTGACAGGAGAGGAACCCCAGTCCCACCCCCTTGTGTTTCTGGTGCATTTCAGCAAGGGCAGACCTACAGACCAGAAGATTCTCACTCTGCCCAGTGCACTTCCCCGGAGGTCACCACACCACTATCTCACTGTGGCTACAGATGCTGTTTTTCACTTAAATTCCTATAGTCCTTTATACCTTCCATAAACATTGTTTTCGTGATGTATGCCAACACATTCATTTATTCATTCATTTACTATTTGTTGAGCACTGTTCTAGCTGGTGGATCAAAAACAAAAAGACAGCTCCTCGGGCTTCCCTGGTGGCGCAGTGGTTGAGAGTCCGCCTGCCGTTTCAGGGGACATGGGTTTGTGGCCCCGTCCGGGGGAATCCCACGGGCCGCGGAGCGGCTGGGCCCTTGAGCCATGGCCGCTGAGCCTGCGCGTCCGGAGCCTGTGCTCCGCAACGGGAGAGGCCACAACAGTGAGAGGCCCGCGTACCGCAAAAAAAAAAGAATAGAGGAGAGGACTGTAGCCCGGCAGACGGCCTCTCAGACAGCTCTGAGGAACTGCTCCACAGAAGCATAGCTTTCAGCACAGTTGTGAACCTTGTTTGAACAAAGAACCTCAGATATGACAGGGATACATTCCTTCAGGGTTTCCAAAAGAGACAGTTCAGCACATACACAGCAAGTCATTAGGAGCGTGGTGCCTGAGGAGGGGAGCTTTATCACGGAAGGAGTACAAGCATTGATGTCCCAGGAAAGGAGGCATTTATCTGGATCTTCAAAAGAGACCTTCGTCACTTCTGGACAGTGCATGCTTTTCTTTAAATGATTAAAGCAGATGTACAGTGTATGTTTATTAGGCCCCCAAACGGGCTGTTCCAGTTAGCATAAAGTTTAAGTTAAACCACATATAAGCCAGAATGACTTCTTCATACCTCAATATATGAAAATTTCTTCCATCCACATCTAGGGTAAATGAGTCTAATGTGTAAATGAAGATTAAATGACGTAGTCAAGGGTAAATCAATTGTAAAGCGTTAAACAAATTAAATATACATTTCTGTTACCCTCAGTATAAAAAATTAGTGCTCTTTTTTCCTCTCAGTTAATGCAACATCCCTGTTATTTATTCAAATCAACAGGTGAAATAGCTGTGTATTTTTAAGTGATTTTCCTCAATTTTTTTTTTTTTTTTCAGGAGTGGTTCACTGTCATTGAGCATTATCACCGAACCAGTGCCACCATTACTGAACTGGTTATCGGAAATGAGTATTACTTCCGGGTCTTTGCTGAAAACATGTGCGGCCTCAGTGAGGATGCAACAATGACAAAAGAGAGTGCCGTGATTGCCAAGGATGGTGAGTTGGAAGCGGGCTGGACATCTGGGAACCTTGATTTTCAGTGATGAGACAGAGAAGACAGAAAGAAAAAGAGATGTGGTGAAAGGGGCTAAGAATATCATAAACACACATTTAAAATTATGGTAAGGAGATGCAGCCACAGGCCAGGGAATGCTGGCAGCCGCCAGAAGCTGGCAGAGGCAAGGAACAGATTCCCTGCTACAATATCCAGGGTCAGCGTGGCCCTGCCAACACCTTGATTTTGTATCTCTGGCCTCAAGAACTGTGAAAGAATAAATTTCTGTTGTTGTAAGAAATAAAAAATAATAAATAAATAAAATTATGGTAAGAACGTCCAACCAAAATGTTAATCTTACGAGTAAAATATTTTAAGGAAAATTATATTATGGTTGCATTTTTTAACGTACAAGCTTTCATTCATGGCAACATCTGGGTAGTGGGTCTCTCAATGGCTAAAATCACAGGGGTAGGAAAAAGTCACCATTTACTTTTAGAGCTTGGGTTACTTTTATTCTTGGACACCTTCAAGGATGCTACACATGAGAGCCACTTTTCAATGAAAGGAGAAGTTGGATTCCACCCCTGTCATTTCATTTCCTCATAAACCATGTCCTTCCGGCCCTTCCTCGTTACTTTCATGTTAAAGCACATTGTTGAGCAAAACACCCAGACACTGAATTCTTCCCAATACTTATTTCAGTTCCAGATGACCCCTCTGGCTTTCTTTCCTGTGTGTGATGGGCTGTACATTGGTATCCTTCTGAATGAATACCCTGTGGCCTTCACACATGTTTTTCTAAGCTCAGGGAAGTTTTCAAGGTGAGTCAAGTATGCTAAGAATAATATATTCTCAGGCCAATTTGTATATCTCTATTGCTTGTTTTTAAGGTAAAATCTACAAAAATCCAGTGTATGAAGACTTCAATTTCACAGAGGCACCCATGTTTACTCAGCCATTGGTCAACACCTACGCTATAGCTGGTTACAATGCCACCCTGAACTGCAGTGTGAGAGGAAATCCTAAGGTACCATGCTTTTGGGTTTTTTTAATCACATTAATTAAATTTAAAAATTAATTCCAAACTCCCTCTTTTATATTCACTATGTCATAATTATAAGTAGTAATATAAACTGAGCTTCCAACTGCTATTTGTGTCTTTTTCTGGGATAGGGAGGGGGGTACAGGGTGGTGGTATTGGTGGATAATTAAGGACACTATTTAAATGTAGAAAAAATATTTGTATTTCTTTACTAACTAAGGGATACTTTCTAAGGAAAAACCAAACCACTTATTTTTAAAAGAACTGAGAGATAAAGAGATGGAAGTAATATTGTGTCACCTGAAAAACTAGGCGGTGATATTGATTTATCAAGCTTTCTGTAATAGTGTAAAGCAAATAATTGTACTATAGTGCAAGGCAGAATACGAATGTACAGTGATAAGGGTACAGAGTACCAGGAAGGGAGAGATCGCATCTGACTGAAGAGATTTAGAAAAGATTTCAGGTTTCATGTTGCTGGCATTTGAAAAGAACAGCAAATTAAGGAATGTTGCCCATGGAGCTATCTATCCCTGGGTGGCACTGAGAGAAAGTGCCCTAGAATTTGGAAAAACTGCAAACAGTGATATTTTTCCTGCATATACCATGAGCAGAAATAGAGAAGTCAAAGGGAGAAGACAGCCTGAGGGTGGGAGGAAGATGCTGAATTCGTGTTTAATTGGAGGTGATGTTGGTACATTCAAGCGGGAATGACCAGGAGGCGAGGAGAGCATCGCCAGAGCTTGGGAGAAAGGTGAGGGCTATGACTCTTGGTTTGGGTGACCCAAGCATGGGGACGCTGCATCCCACCCCTTGGAGCCAAGGCTCTAGAAAGGAATATCAAACGAAAGAGAGTAGTGAAGCAAAATGTCAAGGAGCAAGGTGTGAGCCTCAGGAAATACTCCCATTTGAAAGGCGGAAGGAGGAAGAGGATGGTGTGAAGGACACTGAGAAGTGCTGTCTCTTGGGTCTGAGCAAGACAAATCAATAAGAGGTAGAGGAGAGAGTGTGGAGGGTGTGCATTTACAGAAGTGAGAAGAAGACAATATGAAAAAGAAGTGGCAAGTCAGTGGTATCGACTGTAGTTCAGAAGTCAAGCAGAATGGAGTAGCCTTCCTGGGCGATTGATCTGGGATTATCTGTTTGGAGTAGATCCATCCATTGCCACCAGGTGATGAAAACAGATGTCAGAAGAGAGATTAAATGGTGAGGAGGCATAAGCAGCCCATAAAGAATTAGAAAAGCATGTCAGGGAAAGAAAGTAGAGAAAACTGGCTGGTGATGACACCTTACAGGGATTCTTTGAAAAACACCGAGCAATATACACTCTCCAGGATGAGTTAACCTCATGGACCTGTAGATCAAATTTAAATGTAACTGAATCTTGGGGAAGATTGCCCCAGGGCTGTCCTCTGAACAAATCTGGCTGGCTTCTTCAGAACTGCTCATTCGCTTTCTTGCCAAGCATTAAGTAGAATTTAATTTGAGAGAAACCGTTCTCAAGCTGACGTGGATTCTTCTTAGATGTAGTATTTCCTTTCTAAGCCATGCTTTAAAATTCTGTCACTGGCTTTGATGGTCTATTATTAGGCTAAGTACAGATACGTTTTGCCCTAATTTGCTTCCATCTTCAGCCCAAAATTACCTGGATGAAAAACAAAGTTGCTATTGTGGATGACCCAAGATACAGGATGTTCAGCAACCAGGGAGTCTGTACTCTGGAGATTCGAAAGCCCAGCCCCTATGACGGAGGCACCTACAGCTGCAAGGCAGTCAATGACCTTGGGACAATGGAGATTGAATGCAAACTGGAGGTGAAAGGTATGACATCCCAGATCTTGTGTAGACTGAAATGAAAGAAAATCATTTAATTATTGTCCTTACTGCCAAATCCAAATTACTTGCCAACATTTTCTGGGGGAGGGGAGGAAGGGGGGGTAAGATTTGGGGAGAGAAGACATTTTTACATTCTGAACTCACTCTTATTTGTGATGGCTACTTGATTTTTTAAGTTGACTTACTTTCATCTCTTGCAATTCTTGTTGACTAAAGCACTATTAATTTCAATGAATTGTGGTATATGCACAGCATGGTAACAATGAATCAAGTCAAAGGGGTATTACTTTGGTGACGTAGTCCATCTTAGATAAATAGAAGCCTCATGTAAAAACACATCTAATGAAACTGCAGTTGAGGAATTTAACTATTTTTAATTAGTTTACTATTTTTGTGAAACTTTCTATGTATATGTAAATTTGCTAATTTAGTATTTAATATTACACATGTAGAATTCAGCATACACATATCATAACCCGTTCCTTTTAAAATCTCAGTAGAGAATTTCCATTTGTAGGTATGCATTTCATTTATACTAGTTTTCAGAAGTGTTGCAGCTAACGTTAACCAAGAAAACACATAAAGATTTCTGTGGTAGAAAAGTCTCAGTGTAATTGTCCTCTTAACCAGTTTTCATATTAATTGAGTATAATTTCTATCCTGAAGTTTTTCTCTTGACAATCAATACCTTTTGGGATACGATGAAAACTCTTACAGCTGTCAGAGTCACCGTTAGGAGATAAGGAGTGACATGATCCTAATGTCTCTTCTCTCATTCTTATTGCATTATTTTGCCATTTTGTGATAACCAAAGTCTTTACTTTTCCTACCTCTCTATAATGAAGGAATTATAATCTAAAAGTCAGATATAACTTTATAAATATCTATTTTAGAAAAAACGTAGTAAATGCTTAGGGTATTTATGTAAGCAATAACAACAACAACAAAAGTTTTTTAGTCCTAAATCTAGTGTAAATATAGTAGAGAAACTTCTCGAAAAAATTTTTTCCTTCTGTAACTTTAAAAATCCAGTATTCTCTCTGTTATGATTTTTGTCCATCCTCAGATAATACAGGATAGTAGATTCACAATTGAAAGAAAGAAAATTTTTAAGTGTTTTTCCTCTTAAATGTAAAGAATATAATATTCTTAGAAAATTTCAAACTTTACTATTGAGATAGTGGAAACAAATTTAAATGTTGTTCTTTTAGCTATTTATTAGCTTTTTTTTTTTTCCGGCTGTGCCACGCGGCACGTGGGGTCCTAGTTCCCCGACCAGGGAGTGAACCCGGGCCCCCTGCATTGGAAGCATCAAGTCTTAACCATTGCACTGCCAGTGAAGTCCTATTTATTAGCTTTAAATGCAGATTAAGGTCATAGTTGCAAACACATCTGGTTTCTAAACTCCTTATTAGTTCCAAGGTATTGTTGGTACTTATGTTCCAACACCCAAAACACAAGAACGCAAAAATCAAAAACCCAATACCACTTCTGCATGCTTTGAAAATACCTGAATGTTGCTAATGATATAAAATGATGGTTTCAGAATGGTTCAACATTTGGGGTCCTCCATAAGTGAATAATGTTATGCATATAAATGCTATATTCTTTATAGTAATTGAATTTAATAACATAAATAGTGTATTCTAGTATATAAATTCGTAATAAGGTATCAACTGTGATATATTAGTAAAAGCTTTTGGTCCTAAAAGTAAAGCCAAGATTATTTATCATCAGATTGTTATCTGATAATAGGTGACTTGAATCAAGTTAAGCTGTGGAAAAAAAAAAAAATAAAGTAAGACTGTCAACCAAGAATAAGTAAATACTGGTGCAAATATTCTAATTCTGCAGTGATATATCAAGGAGTAAATTCCCCTGGACAACCAGTCTTCCTGGCGGGGCAGCAACAGGTTTTATAAGTTCATATCCCACTGGATATTTCTTCTTTCCATTCCATTCCTCTTACACGAAATCGCACTTTGCATGTAAAGCTTGTCTTTCTCATTTGCTTTTAATTGTATTTCTTAGCAGCTCATGGCATACAGTGGTTATGCCATGAACAAGGAAGGCAAAATTATTCAAGGATATTAGGTAATATAGGAATAAGTGTTGTCAGAAAACTTAAGGACCATACCACAGGTTCCCATAAATAAAGCCAGAAAGCCACATTTGAATATGACCTCATTTTAGATATAAGGTTACCAAAATTTGGGAATCATTTGGCATTTCTTTAATATTTTCAAGCGTAGAGAGAGATGTTCTTCCTTTAAGATAGCTTCCATTGTGGGTTGGTTAGATTCATGTTGATGTTCAGAAAATTGAACATTTTTCCATTGCTAAGTTGTAGAAAAATTGTTCTGGGCATTTTTGATGGGGCGAGGACACAGATAAAAAACTATTTGGACTGTTTGGATCCAATATCTGGAAACTTTCATATTTAAGATTTTCCAATGAAAAATTCTCTAGTAGAATGTCTGTAACCCACCTATCCGTGGAACATTTTGGATAGTTTCATGGGACCAAGATTATTTCATATATTCATGAACTTAAAAGGAAAGAAAATTCTAGGCCCCATTACTAAATGTATTAATCGATAAATGAGTCCTACAGTATATGTATGATTGATCCCCTATTTGGAAGAGCAAATTAAGAAGTTCTCTGGGGCTATAGGTTAGCAACCTGATGTAAACTCTAATGACATAGACCCATGCCTGAGTTTACAGTGTTTGCTCTCTGAATTTCTAGAGATAACATCAACTTTCGAAAGAGGAAAGAATTAGGACTCTTTCAAAGTTTTGTAGATTGCACGTATAGTCACTTTCTAGCCTGTGTTTTTAAGCCTTGCATTTAGTTAGATCAGTCATATATAGTCAGTTCAGAATACAATATTCTAGAATAGTCTAATTTCTATATCCACTTGATAATTTTGCCTTTTAGAATTTCAACATATATATATATGTATACTTATGCTTTGTTGATTGTCCATGTTTTTCTGTTGTTGAAAAACACAATATATATATGTTGTAGGGGGGTTTCTTTAGCTAATGGTTTGGAAACTGTTACCATAATTATTCACTTTACGGTCGAATTGGCTTTGCCACCTGCTCAGGCAAAGTGGTTGTGCATATTAATAAATGTTTTACCTATTAATGATCCTTTTGAAGTGACTGGATCCCAGCCCTTCATTCCGTGCGCTTCTATTTTCCTGTACTTTTCACCTGACTAAGGATTAATGAAATCACCTCATCATAATCGTGACCATAATTTCATCCAACAAGTACTCAACTTTGGTTTTAGCACTTTATTAATGCTTACAACATGTCTCTCTCTCTCTCTCTCTCTCTCTCTCTCCCCCCCCCTCCCCCATTCCGTGCGCTTCTATTTTCCTGTACTTTTCACCTGACTAAGGATTAATGAAATCACCTCATCATAATCGTGACCATAATTTCATCCAACAAGTACTCAACTTTGGTTTTAGCACTTTATTAATGCTTACAACATGTCTCTCTCTCTCTCTCTCTCTCTCTCTCTCCCCCTCCCTCTCTCTCTCTCTCTCTCTCTTTTCCTTAGTTGTAGCACAGTAAGGATTTTTGAATGTATATTATCATCTAAGGTAAGCTTTCATATGGTTTTGGCATATGAAGCTTATGACTGTCATAAGCCATACAAAGCCTGTGGAGTATGGCATGATTTTCATTATGCAACCCAATGAAAATAGACTATTTAAACTCCCTAACATTGTAGTTTTAATGTGTATTTCAGTATCTTGCCATTAACAGCTAGTACTTATTCATCACAACAATCTTCTGTTGACATGAAGCAAGTTGTTGAATGCAGTAGAGCATGAATTAAAGCATTTAATGTAGATGAAAATGAGTGATACCCAAGCATTCTGAGCTCTTTGCATCAAGGAATGGACATGTACATAAGTGGCATCATTTCTTCCAATATGTGACTTTTTAAAAAAAAAGAGGAGAATGACTTTCCCAAATTGCATTAAAGAAGTTTTAAGAATGTTCAAATGGCATGCTGTTTTTGTCTGGACGTGAATTTATTAGCAAGTAGTAAAACACTTCTCTAAAGGACCATTTTTATGGTTTCATGGGTTCTCTCGTGAAGGGTACTTTTATTTTTTAAATATAATTCAGAACCATGGAGGGTAAGTATGAAATATTAGTAGGTGTTTCTCTCACCTTCAGAAGGTATTGGACAGGTTTTACTATTTTTAACAAAATATTTCCAATTTTTGCACTTTTGACAGTGTATGAATAGCCAAAGTTAAAGGAGTAGTTCCTTTTTTCTTCTCCCATGTGCTTGAATGGGAACTCTTTGTGCTTAATTGAAAGGAACATTAACAAACTGGAAACAGTTCTTCCCACTGATTTGTAACATGATTTGCATTTATTCTGCCACTCAATCAGAACACTTAAATCATCTATAGAGGAACCTCAAAACCTCGAAAAGAGCAATAAACACTCTCCAACTAGTGCGGAAATTAAGAACGAATAATAGTAGGGAGCAAAAAACTGCTATGGGTCTGCAGGGAACTTGCTTTTCCTTCTAGATGCCAAACGTTTTAGATTCTAAAGGTGCTAAACCCAGGAGAAGCTTTCCAAGTAGGGACTGAATGAATCTTTGTAACTAACTGGAACATAATTAGTCACGTTTCCAGGCAGCTAGTCACGAAGTCTTGTTTCAGGGATTTTTCACATGTAGACGGTTTTGACTTTGCCTTTTCCTTCTCGTCCTTTCTAGGTGGTCTTTCCTTCTGCAGGCTCCTCTTGCAAGGTGTGCCTCCTAGCGTAATTGATTCATACTTGCGAGACTTGCACTCAAGCAATCCTGAGGAATACTAAGGGCCTGGGCACTGCCGCTCTGCTCATCACTGCTTTGAAATCGGGTTGCAATGAGAAAGCATTTTCTGTTTTGCTCCCAGGCTCCCAAGTGTGGTTGTTTTCTTTCCTCCTGATGTTGAAGAAAAAAAAAAAGATGTTTGCACAGATTGCTTAATTAAAAATTGCAAACAAAATCTCATTTGAAGTTAGCATTTTGGTCATTGTTGTCTGTGCTTGGTCACTGTACTTTCCAAAAAAAGCAAGCTATAGAATAAGCAAAAGCATTTATTTTAATTTAAAATAGTAGGCTCTAAATGTTTTGTTTTCCCCTAGAGTAAAAAAACAGTACAATACACCGTAATAGAATCTTAAAAACCCATCTTTCCTTTGAGCTAAGAGATTTTTCTAAGCAGAGTTGTTTATTTCATACAACCCTACTTAACACCAGGGGATCTGTGCCCTTTTCCCCATTTAAAGTCATTACAAGAAATTTTAAAGTCTTTCAGACAAGTTTTCTCAACTGAAGGCAAAATGTATTCAATGAATGGTACAATAAATCTGAAGTGTTTATGATGAAATGACACAGTATTCGTTTATGTGTTTCGGGTTTACATGATCAGCCAGAACGGAGGACGAACGCTGGGAGCCAAGATGCTACCAAACTCAGGCCTGACCCAAATCACGTCTCTGGCATAGCATCCTGGCCAAATCCACCAGAGTTCCTGCCAAGACAGCTAGTCACAGTGATGGAGAGCTGTTGCAGCCTACAGAGCGGTTACAGATTTAGAGTTTGCTGATGGCCTCCATTCAAACTGATGAAAACCTTTCCCCAAATCTAGAAACTGAGAAACATTCGTGCAAGCCTGTCATCTTTTTAGCAACATCCTTCACTCTTCCTGATGTTACGGAGAAAGTTTCCGTTAGGGAAGTGGAGTAGAAGGGGGAGTCAAGTACTGTACCATTATTGTTTTCTCCCTCGCCTCCCTCCCTTTTGTTCTTTTGGCCTTTTGTTCTAGGAGCTAAATACATCCTGACCTACAGGGAGACCCACAGCGTCCTGGGACAGCATCTTAAAGTTTCTGCTCTGCTTTCTTTCCAGATCAGAGCTGGGAAGATGTGATGATAGCCAGGAACCTGGATAGTAGTTGTGGGGCTCATAAAGGGAAGGAGTGGATGATTCGGGTAGTTGCAATACTTTTGGGGAAAGCAAGGGAAAACTTGAATTCTTGTCCAGACTCTGGTGGATGCCTCTTTTTCTGTTTTGTTTGATTGGTGATCTTGCCTTATGGCTGTTAAGAATATTGGCTGTCACCCCATGTTCTCAATTACCTTCAAAATAATAATGTGTGCAATTCCTATGTAAATACCCATGTTAATCAGGAAACCTATTTACACATTATTGGATAAGATATTTTACATAAGAGAAATCTGGCTAATCTATAAAGACGTGAAGACCATATGTCCATGTGCAAACCAAACAAACAAGAGTGTGGCCAAACTTGTCGGCGTGGTCCCTGCAGCTCGCTGCTGGGTCAGGGCCTCATTGCAGCTGCTGGGCTGGTTGCTTAACTCAAATACTCTGACCCGTTTTGCCAAGTCATGGTCAATTTGTTATGCCTTTTATAAACATTGCCTAAATGCACCTATAGAGCATTTCTACAAAATATTGCTTCCCCAGTCATGACTTATCCTCTCTAACTGTATTGTATGCTAGGTAATGTTATTTTTCTACATATGATGTCTCCTCATATTAAGGGTACTTACTGTAAAGTTCCCATGAGGAAGAAAAAGTCTATTTTGAAACTGCAAAGAACAAAAAATATCAGAAGCTGTCATTGCTATTAGCTTTCCTATAATTTTGTTCTAATTTTGTTTAAATTTCATTCTATTAAAGAAAAACATTATGTCACAGGATTTACCAAAAATTCTTTTGGGGAACTGAACATACAACATTAAAAATTTTTTAAGCATTACTCACTTTAAAAGGAGGCTTAATGAATGTTTTCATCTACATGAATATAGCAGTAGAAAAAACCCTACTAGTTCCAAGAAACATTGGAATAAGGCAATACATCCTTAACCACTCACTTTTATTTTTATTTTTTAAAAATTTTATTGGAGTATAGTTGAATTACAATGTTGTGTTAGTTTCAGGTGTACAGCAAAGTGATTCAGTTATACATATACATACATTCATTCTTTTTCAGATTCTTTTCTCATATAGGTTATCACAGAATATTGAGTAGAATTCCCTGTGCTATACAGTAGGTCCTTGCTGGTTATCTATCTTACATATAGTAGTGTGTGTATGTTAATCCTGAACTCCTGATGTTTTTCCCCTTTGGTAACCATAGGTTTGGTTTTGATACCTGTTAAGTCTGTTTCTGTTTTGTAAATAAGTTCATTTGTATCACTTTTTAAAAATTAGATTCCACATATGAGTGATACCATATGTTACTTGTCTTTCTCTGTCTGACTTACTTCACTTAGTATGATCATCTCTAGGTCCGTCCGTGTTGCTGCAAATGGCATTATTTCATTCTTTTTTATGGCTGAGTAATATTCCATTGTATACATGTACCACATCTTCTGTATCCATTGATTTGTCAGTGGACATTTAGGTTACTTCCATGTCTTGGCTATTGCAGATAGTGCTGCAATGAACATTGGGGTGCATGTATCCTTTCAAACCACGGTTTTCTCCAGATATGTGCTCAGGAGTGGGATTGCTGGATCATAAGGTAGTTCTATTTTTAGTTTTTAAAGGAACCTCCGTACTGTTCTCCATAGTGGTTGGACCAATTTACATTCCTACCAACAGTGTAGGAAGGTTCCCAGGGTTCCCTTTTCTCCACACCTTCTCTAGCATTTATTGTTTATAGACTTTTTGATGATGGCCATTCTGACTGGTGTAGGGTGATACCTCCTTGTAGTTTGGATTTGCATTTCTCTGATAATTAGCGATGTTGAGCATCGTTTCATGTGCTTTTTGGACATCTGTCTTCTTTGGAGAAATGTCTATTTAGATCTTCTGCCCATTTTTTGATTGGGTTGTTTGTTGATATTGAGATGCATAAGCTGTTTGTATATTTTGGAGATTAATCCCTTGTTTGTCACTTCATTTGCAAATATTTTCTCCCGTTCTGTGCGTTGTCTTTCATTTTGTTTATGGTTTCCTTTACTGTGCAGAAGCTTTTAAGTTTCATTAGGTCCCATTTGTTTATTTTTGTTTTTAATTTTATTACTCCAGGAGGTGGGTCAAAGATGATACTACTGCCATTTATGTCAAAGAGTGTTCTGCCTATGTTTTCCTCTAAGAATTTTATGGTGTCTGCCCTTACATTTAGGTCTTTGATCCATTCTGAGTTTTATTTTTATGTACGGTGTTAGAGAATGTTCTAATTTCATTCTTGTACATGAAGCTGTCCGGTTTTCCCAGCACCACTTATTGAAGAGACTGTCTTTTCTCCATTGTATATTCTTGCCTCCTTTGTCATAGATTAATTGACCATAGGTGCATGGGTTTATCTCTGGGCTTTCTATCCTGTTCCATTGATCTATATATCCGTTTTTGTGCCAATACCATACTGCTTAACCACTCATTTTTAAATTGATTTCTGAAACATTCTATTCAACTCAACAAATGAGTTCGTGAATGTCTGATGTGTGCATGGCACTGTGATGGATTCAGCTAGGAACTCAGTGAGAAATAAGCCACTTCCTGCTTTCAAGAAATTGATAATATACCACACTACTACCCAAAGGGAAGCACATACACAGAGCAGGCTGCAGGCGTAAGAGAACACCGTAAGGATTCAGAAATTGGATAATGTGGTTTATGTATTTGTTATTATCAATGCATGTATCACACTAGGTTGGAGTACAGGACATGCCACATGATTTTATTTTTCTAAATCAAATTAACTATGACTCTGAGCTCCCCACTAGCCAGAGAGATTGAGAAATTCTCTCTGCCCTCCTTCTGGGTCCTATCTCAGGCCCTGGGTCAACTGGAATCTTTCTTGGTGCCTAGAAAATGGAGAGAAGGAAAGGCCTCTGGTCTTCAGGCTATACTGGTGACTGCAGGATGCCTATGGTCCAACCCAGTAGAGTCCAGCCAAAGACAAGTGACTCAAACTTCTTTGACAAGTGTGGACCTGCGCTCTTACAACCTCCAAGGCCACAGCTTGGCTATTTACCTACTGCCTTTTTTTGGTTTTTTTTTTGGCCACGCTGCACAGCTTGTGGGACCTCAGTTCCCCAACCAGGGATAGAACCCGGGCCCCATGGAGTGAAAGCACCAAATCCTAACCACTGGACCACCAGAGAATTCCCTTTATCTGCTACATTTAAACATGTTCTTTGTGGGGAGACTGGACAGTTCTACCACTTAGTATTAGCCTTGGACCTGGGCAAGAGGGACCTCTATATTTTCAAGAGCCTCACTCTGGCCCTCCTCTAGCCATATCTCCCTCCACAAAGTAGGGAGGCCATGGAACCAAGGGGATGTGCATACTTAGAACTCTTATGAACCGCCCCCCTTCTTGCATACTGCACCCAAGTCCACTTTTAAAGACTTTGTGGGCCTTTTCCTTGAGTTCAAACCCCCAAGGAAGAACCAAGTGGCCAGAATATATACCCCGAGGCCCAGTGGGTGGCCTAGAGGCACCTGTTTGTCAGGGAGTTGGGGTGTGGAGGATGTGACTGAGGCACGGCATCTGCCTGTGTGCACCTGCGACCCCTCATGGTGCAGGAGGGAGCAGGGCGGAAAGCACAGGGAGACCTGAGCCTCGGTGGGCCACAATATTTTGTATCTCTGAAGACTTTGACAATTCTACGTTCAAATCTAGCCTTCTAGGTCATTATGAGGGTATCCCCCCAAAAAACTGGAGGATACAACTATTTTATTAACCATTGGTTAGCTTGACTTATAACTTCTAAACATTTATGTACGTGAGCTATAAAAACGAGGGGGTCAGCCAGCCCCCAACTACCTCTGTTCCCTTTCCTGGTCCCCCCCTCACGCCCCTTTACCAAGATCTCTCTCACCTGACTCCAGGCCTGACCCTCCATCTCCTTCCTCATTTCAGTTCCTTTGAATGGAATCTAGAAATACAAATTTGGCCTTCTGCTCCTAGGAGTAGGAGTAGAATAAGGAATAAGAAAACCAGACAGTCTTCTCACCAACTCTCCCTGTAACATTACTTGA